GCTGATTCTCACAGCCAATTGGCCTGGAGGTCAATTCCTCCCAGTGATACCTACAACATCAAGTGAATAATCTGATGAACAGAATGAACAGGTGATTATAATAGAATCAGGGGCATAGAAAGGGAGTGGACTGACTATTCTTGGGGGGGAAAGGGGTGAGGGGGATTCGGGAAGAAACTGGACAAAAATCGTGCACCTATGGATGAGGACAGTGGGTGGGGAGTGAGGAAGGAGGGTGGGGTGGGAACTAGGTGGAGGGGAGTTATGGGGGGAAAAAAGAGGAACAAATGTAATAATCTGAACAATAAAGATTTAACTAATCAAAAAAATAAATATATAAACTTGGAAAAGCCACTCCAAGCCGTGGCTGAGATGGTGGCATGGACTCATCATGACGGTGACTGAGGGCGCAGTGGGGGCCTCCCTGAGAGTCCCCGGGTCCCAGGTCTCCGTGTTCGGGAGTGAGGAGGTTTCCAGGTCTCAGTTCCATGTGATGGCATTTCTGGGAGCTCATGTGGGTTATGCTTGTCCCAGTGTCCCTCCCTCCACCACTCCACTTCCTCTTCCTTTCTTCCTTCCCTCCCTCCTTCCCCTACTTCTGATTTTCCTTTTCTGCTTTTCTTTGTTCGTCTCTCTCTCTTATTTCTTACGTGTTACTTCCCTTCTCTCCTCCTTCCCTCCGTTAATTATCCTTGATCAAAGGTGCCCAGCATGGACAAGGTCTCGGGGCAAGGAGTCATTGAGTAGGTTCCTGGGCCCCTGGAACTCACAGGGAGGTGAGGACAGACATAAACACAGCACTGCAGTGAGTGTGGGACACGGTGTGGAGGTGAGTGCTGAACACAGAGCTGGGGTGACACAGTCGTGCTCCAGCCTGGACCTGCTGGGAGGGTTTGATGGGACTGAGCTGCCAGGCCCAGCTCATGAAGCATGAGTAAGGGTGGGCATTAGGGGGAGGGGCTTCAGGCAGAGGGACTGAGGTGGTGGGGACAGAGGTGGTGGGGACAGAGGGGGTGGGGACAGAGGAGGTGGGGACAGAGGTGGTGGGGACAGAGG